GATGTTTGGTTCATTATAATTCAAAAACTATCACTTTTAGAAAAAAACTGAAAATATCTAGACTATTTTCGATCATTTATGAAAAAACCAAGATACAAGTAGGGGTGTCCCAAAATACAACACCTTGAGTAACAATTCTATTGGCGCCATTTTTCGTTTGACGGAAAAGTACCCAATGTTCGCGAAAATCGCAACCGCGAATTATTGCATATGTACAATCAAAATGGGACACCCTGTACATACAATGTTCACAAGGTGAAAACTATCTATTATACTTTTAAGCAAATTTCCAACATAAAAAACAATGGATAATGGATATTGAGTTTATGATGAAGATCTGTATAGGGTGTTTTTGAATAGTGGAATAAAACTTCTAGAATCAATAGTATCCCAGATAGCAAAGAAATATTCAATAAATATTTTTTTTTAAATATTTTTTAAATATAAAAGCGACAGATTTTTAAATATTATTTAAATATTTTTAATATAATATTTCTGAAATATCAAAAAAAAAATAGCATAAAAATATTTCAATTTTTATATTTCTCAAATATTTACAAAAAATATTATATCAATATTTCAAATATAATATTGCACAAATATGGAATATGAGAAAAAAAACTTCAATAAATATTTTAAATAGGTATATATTACTCAGCTAAATATTTTTTTACAAATACGTTTAAATTAATTTTGTCTATTAGGTATTATTGGTTACGTTCACAAGCACTCAACTGTTGCCAACAGTTGAGTAGAGGTATGTTCGCACATAATTTACAAACCAGCCAGAGCATTGGTTGAGGACAGTCAGGAAGCTAGTTCCAACTAATTAAATTCGCCAGTTTGTATAATTTATGTGTGAACAGACCTCTACTCAACTGTTGGCAACGTTGAGTGCTGGTGAAGGTACCCATTAATAGGTCTGTTTTTGCAGAAATCACAAATCAGTCAGTGCGAATTTCATTGGTTGAAAACAGTCAGAAAACTAGTTTCAACCGATGAAATACACTCTGACTGGTTTGTGATTTCTGCAAAAACAGACCCATTATTTTCGCAAACAGACATTAACAAAAAAAAACGAAAAAGAATAGCAACATCATCATTTGGATTTTCTACATCACTCATTGCCTAAACCGTTGATTGCCTAAACCTAATGAATGTCTATATATACACAGGGCGAAAATTAGTTCGAAGGAGCACAAATAAATAACTTAATTATAAGTTTATCACACCGTAGCCACTTGCACTATTAGTATTTTTGTTTTAAACAATAATTATCCACATTTAACACCACTTGAAAACTGAAACCACAATTCACAAGCATCCAAAATGCACGCTAAGGACACACCAAACCAGCGTTGCCAGACGTACGACAGGTGTGGTATTTGTACGACAGTTTAGGGCATATTCGTTACAAGAAAATCAATGCGTACGGTAGTACGGTAAAGTACCACAGTTTAGAAATATTGGGTTGATTGGTAATATTTTATGGTAATATGTACTACATTTCTACATTCTCCTTTTTTTCTTATGTGTGTTGGCCAAATTGGGTAAAAAATCTATGACAGATTTTCAAAGCTTGTGGCTTGAAAACAGTCTATAGGCAATTTTTCCCGAAGATAATCAATCAAGCATAATTTATCGATTATGCTTGATTATGTGATGTGTGAATTGTGTCATACCATACTCCCCCAACTCTCTCACCATCAAATTCTGGGATACTCGAGAATCATCAAGAACACTTAATTTCTTGTGAGAAAACTGACCGAAAATTATTTTTTCTACATTTAAAATCGACGAAAAAATTCACAAACTCACTAGCACAGCCTGAATCGCGAGTGTTCCATCGAGGTCTGCGGGTGATGTCATCACTATAGGCTGCTGATAGTGACGTCACACGCAGGCCCAAAATTTGATGAGGATGGAGTTAGGGGAGTAGAGTATGACACAATTGACAGTTTATCAGTTTATGGCCGAGTTCGTTTTTGTCATCTTTTTCGTCGATTTGCTCCGAAATTTTGACAGGCACGTTATTTGTGAATTGAAACTGTCTGATCCAGTCACGTGTCTGTCAAAATTTCGAAGCAAATCGACGAAAAAGATGACAAAAACGAACTCGGCCTCCTATATAGTACCTATTTATATCTCACTAGATTCTGATTGACACATGACATAACCCAGCATAATCAGATACTTCTGTTGTTGTAAGGTCTATTTTCAAGTTTTCAACATTTTACGCTCTCAAACAAAAATCATATTTTTTCTAGTAAATACATATGTACTAAAAACGTAAGGTAATGTGTACCACAAGTATTCATGGCGCGTACGTCCCTGTACGACAGTTTTTGAGCATTGTGTACCACACTTCCATATTTAGAGTCTGGCAACGCTGCACCAAACCCAAAAAGCAGCAGAGCATGAAGTAACATGGCGGCATGGTGTTCGTCGTCCCGTTTTTCGGAGACTTTGAATGCGCGCGCATCCTATTTATGTGTTTAGTCTTTAAGCCCAAATTTCATATCAAACTCAAGAGGTTCGATAGTTTATTGGACAGTGCGCTCGCTTAACATCGGCGAGAGCCGGGTTCGGGTTCTCACGCCGAAAAACTTTTTTTTTTTTTTTTTTGTTTTTGAAACAATGACATAAAATAACAGTTATAGGGTCATTTTTAATTTTTAGGCTTTATCTACAAATTATGCTAAACATTTTTTTGACAATAAAGCATTATTATAGGGCTTAATTTTTGTATTTTGGATTTGCTAACTTTCTTTCATTTGAAATACCAACATAATTATTTATTATTACATTATACAAAAACTGGAATACTTACATCACCAAACAAAATAGGAAGGTATTGGTAGGTATTTTGGATTTTTCTCAAATAATATTTTTTAAATATTTTGGTAATAATGGATTTCTAATATTTGCCATTCATTTAAAAGTAAATATTTAATGTATATTACAAAAAAAATATTGCATTTGAAATAAATGAAAAATATTCATTAAATATTTTAATCAAATGATTATCGAACACATTTTTTTAATTCCGAATTATAATTTCAAATAAAAAATCGATGTGAGCAAGTGTGCTTGTTTATAATTAGCTGTGTAATTAGTACTTATTTTATGATACCCGAACAATTTTTTTTTTCAAGAACTCATTTTGCTTTTTTTCAAATATTTGTCGAATATTTTAAAAATAATGGATTTCTAATATTTTTCATCAGTTAAAGAGGAAATATTCAATGTATATTATAAAAGAAATATTGCATTTGAAATAAATAAAAAATATTTATTAAATATTTGATAAAAATATTATAAACCAAATATTTATTAAATATTGGTTTAACATAATAAATATTTAAATAAGATATAAATATTATTAAATATTTAATGGATATTTAATAAATATTTCGTGCTATCGGGGATATAGACTAGGGTGATTGTCTATATATTGCACCCACACCTATCTCACTTGTTTGAAATTTTAAATGTAAAAGCTATGGGTGATATCAGAAAAGTCTTTAATGAAGTTAGTCACCACCATTATACAGGGTGTGTCTCTATTTAACTCCTATACAATGGTATTTTTTTAGGAAAAAATTCTCATTATAAAAGCGCTGATGAATAAATTATTTCTAAGGGTTTTCATGTATCCAAGCTCATACAGGCAATTTATAAAATAGAAAACTGAATAATTTATGAAATATGTAATTAATTAATAAATTTTCATGCGATGGATTATTCTTGAAATAAAATTTTAGAAATCAGTATTTTGTGAAAATGTCAGCATCAAACACGGTTAAAACAGGTAAGTCACTTAAACCATGGAACCTCCCCCCACTCAACTGGATGGTAAGCACAATTATTTGATATTGTACAATAAAATTACCCAATGTATATTCACTCAATTTTTATTTAAAATCTAGCAACAAATTTAACTTTATATTTACCAACTATTGTAACAGGTACCAGGCAAATTTTTCCCAGTTAATTTTTCTCTTCGGTATTTTGAAAAAAACATCTTATCAAAAACGTCTTAAGGACAGAATATAATATCTTTAGCCTATAAAGATGTCTTAAAAATGTTTGATGAATTCTGAGCTGTTACAAATACTTCTTCCAAAATATTTCTGAGTTATTCCAGAAGCGTCTGATTGGTTCTATTCCTCAATAATTGATGATAGGAAGGTGCTTATCTGAAGTGTTAAAAGATCCTCATTATAATACAGAAGCTGATATTATACAACTTCTCAATCACCCCAAATTACTTAACATGATTTTACCTCAGGAACTGTAAGTCCAGATGAGTTGAAATTTTCATGAAATTTCACAATATTTTTTGTTGAGATTTTGTATCCTAATGGTCAATTAACATCCCCCAAACTCCATAAACTAAATTATTCTCAGATTTGAAGTCGAAATCTATGAAAGAAGGCACTCAGAAAAATTGAAAAATTGATAAATCATCCTAAATTGCTTAACACGATTTTATCTCAGAAACTATAAGTGCAAATGAGCTGAAATTTTCAGGGATTGTAGTCCTCTACTTGGATAAGAATCGCTGAAAATTTCATTTTGTTTTCATTGTTGAAATTTTGTATCCTATTGGTCAATCACCTTACCCCAAACTCCATATACTAAATTATTCTCAGATTTGAAGCCGAAGTCTATGAAAAAAGGCACTCAGAAAAATTGAAAAATTGATAAATCACCCCAAATTGCTTAACGCGATTTTATCTCAGAAACTATAAGTGCAAATGAGCTGAAATTTTCAGGAATTGTAGTCCCTTCACTGGGATAAATTTCAGTGAAAGTTTCAGCTTTCTATCTATAATAGGAAAAAAGTTATGACTTGTCAAAGTTTTCAAAATCTATATCATAAGGTAGGTACCTTTTTACTAAAACGATGAAATTTCAAAATTTTTTCCTTCAAGAGCCGGTAACAGTTCATAATTTGATTATTACTGACTCCTGATCAATACCAAATAAAAACCTACTTAAATAAGACAAATTTATTTATTACTTCAAATACAATTTTCATCTTAATAATTTCAAACATTCTTGGGCAATTTACTCATAAACTGTATCAGGCCATAATCGCCCTTTTCCATCCATTTTTCATCAGTTTTGTGGCAAATCTCAGCCTGTCCTGGCTTAAGACCTACTACAATATCAGCCTTAATTGTCCTAAGGGTGCACAATTTTGCGGGCAAGAAACCTTGAAGCGCTTCTTCAGGAGACAGAGTTGGATCCCAGTTTTTTTCACCAAAAAGTTTCCTATATAAAAATGTAATCTATACTCATATTTTTAAGAAGCAATTTTAAATATACAAACCTATAATTCAAATCTCCTTTAAAAATAACCAACTTTGATTCAGTTAGCAATTCATATAAATCTGGAGCAAATTGAGACATGAACTTGAATTCATAAGGACAAGTCCAGAAATGGTGCACCATAACTTGCCATTGTCCATTGGCAAGATACTCTGTCCATCTCGAGCCCAATTGTTGCCTGTAGCTATTTTTGCAATCTTTTGATTGTTGCAAAGTCCACAAAAAGTCTTTTTCCATTACATCCGATATAAACCAGGGAATTGCTTTTACGTGAAACCTAATTTTTTTGGCCAATGAAAATGTTGTTAGAATATCCATGAGGCAGAGGTCTGTGAAAACTTCGTAGCCAGAATTGTCCAGTACAATATCTATTGAATATTGTTATTAATGTTTTATTAATAAATATTATTTATTTGTTTTACCAATAATATTATTATTGTCATTTGTAATAAGGGCTTGGTAAATTTTCTCTGAATCGTCAGCTAAAATGAATTGGTCTAAGGCTTTGATGTCGTGCAATTGGCCAGGCCCTTCAACTTTGCCTAGCGATATAGACAAATCACATTTGTTGCCCCATAAATTAAGCTAGGAAATAATTGTTTTTTTTGATTTGTGGAGGTTGGAAACTTAACTTACTTTAAGCATCTTCAATATTGCCTGTTTCCTATCACAAGTTTCATGATTGTCTATTATATCAACTACTAGTTGGCTTAAATTGTCCATTAAATGTATTGATTGGTTGTATTGTTCAGTTTTTGAAGATTTGAAATAATCAAAGTCTTTTAGTGTGGCACTAAAATTACATTGTTTTTTGATTGAATTAATTCAAGACTGGTTTATTAATTTCCTGATAAACTGTCACAAAATGGTTGCAGATAGTTACTATTACCAGCAAGTTTATCTGAAGATGAATAAACCAATAGTTATCAAATTTACGTTAAAGTGAACATTTCTTTAATCCTTTTGTACATGTAACACTCAGCTAAAAGCCATATTGTATTAAAGTGAGTCGTTTCTCCTTCTTCACTTGCTTGTTTTGCAATATAGTCATTGTAAATTCTTACATCTGTTTCTTCCCCAACTAACTTTGTTAGAGGTTTGTTGGTTTGCACCTCGTATTTGAACTTTGAGAGTTCGCCAATGACTTGTTTTAAATCTTCTCTAGAATTCTAAGAATATTTACAATTAAATAATGTAGAAACAATTCTAGAAAATTATTACTTCACCAAATTCAGCCACTATTGAATCTTTATTACGAGTCAGGGTGTCTAGTAGTTGAGTTATTATCACTGGCATACGATTTTTGACTGTATGATAAGCAAAACTCCTAGAAAATTATGTTTATTACAAGGAAATAATACTAATTATTGACAAACCTTTTATAAAACGCCGATAAATAAATGTTTCTAGGAGTTTTCATGTCCAGGCTCATATCTGTACATTCACACATGATAAATATTATAAATTATTTATAAATTTGCATGCAAATTTACGTACTGTTGTGTTGTAGAGGGTATCCTAAGGACAATCAAAAATTGTTTAATAAATTATTTTAAAAAATTAATTTACATAACCTCAAATTTTTGTTTACATTCCAAAAGTGACTTTTATAATGTATTAGAAAGAGATAGAAATATTAATTTGAAATTGTTTGTGCAGGTTTTGTTAGATGGCAGCATCATATAACACAAAATAATAGTTTTAAATCTTTGTTAATTTTATTGGAATTTTAACGTTAATTGGGTTCAAATTAATTAATATTTTTGTTAATTATTTTATTCATATTTATTTTACATTGTTTTGCGCATCATGTCGGAGTTTCAACCCAAGTAGGCTTTGGGATTTTTCAAACTGGCCACCATTTTGTTGTCAAAAGTTCTTTTCATGTTGCGTTTTTCCTCTTCCCTAAGGGTTTTTCGCAATTTTTTTTAAGTTTTTTCGGACGATTTTCATGCAGAAAAGTGTTTGTCAAGATGTTTTTCGTTGGATTTGGCCTACTAGCCACAAATCAATTCGAAAAACTATGGGTTTTTGGACTTTGTGTGCTGCTGAGGCCAGGTAAAAAGGAAGGTAGGCCTTATTTTATTCAAAAACAATTAGTTTTGCATGCGACTACATTGAAATAATACATTTTTAAAAGAAAAATCTGCAGTATTTTGCAAGTTTGCAATTAGATGGCGCTAGTTTTGTAAGCGGGAATTTATTCAGTTCAAATCCTCGTGATATCCTGGGGTTGTAGTCCTTCCATTGGGATAAAATTCAGTGAAAGTTTCAGCTTTCTATCTATAATAGAAAAAAAGTTCTGACATTTCAAAGTTTTCCAAAATCTAAATCATAAGGTAGGTACCTTCCTACTAAAACAATGAAATTTCAAATTTTTATGTGTGAAGATTTTGTGTCCTAATGGTCACTTGTGATCCCTCGACCTCCATACACTAAGTTATTCCCAGATTTGAAGCCGAAATCTATGAAAAAAGGCACTCAGAAAAATTGAAAAATTGATAAATTACTCCAAATTGCTTAACACGATTCTATCTCAGAAACTATAGGTGCAATTGAGTTGAAATTTTCAGGGATATTAGTCCTCTACTGGAATAAGAATCGCTGAAAATTTCAGCTTTCTATCTTTGATAGAAAGAAAGTTATGACCTGTCAAAATTTTCCAAAATCTAAATCATAAGGTAGGTACCTTCCTACTAAAACAATGAAATTTCAAATTTTTTTGTGTGGAGATTTTGTGTCCTAATGGTCACTTGTGATCCCTCGATCTCCCTATACTAAGTTATTCCCAGATTTGAAGCCGAAATCTATGAAAAAAGGCACTCAGAAAAATTGAAAAATTGATAAATTACTCCAAATTGCTTAACACGATTCTATCTCAGAAACTATAGGTGCAATTGAGTTGAAATTTTCAGGGATATTAGTCCTCTACTGGAATAAGAATCGCTGAAAATTTCAGCTTTCTATCTTTGATAGAAAGAAAGTTATGACCTGTCAAAATTTTCCAAAATCTAAATCATAAGGTAGGTACCTTCCTACTAAAACGATGAAATTTCAAATTTTTTTGTGTGGAGATTTTGTGTCCTAATGGTCACTTGTGATCCCTCGATCTCCCTATACTAAGTTATTCCCAGATTTGAAGCCGAAATCTATGAGAAAAGGCACTCAGAAAAATTGAAAAATTGATAAATTTCTCCAAATTGCTTAACACGATTCTATCTCAGAAACTATAGGTGCAATTGAGTTGAAATTTTCAGGGATATTAGTCCTCTACTGGAATAAGAATCGCTGAAAATTTCAGCTTTCTATCTTTGATAGAAAGAAAGTTATGACCTGTCAAAATTTTCCAAAATCTAAATCATAAGGTAGGTACCTTCCTACTAAAACAATGAAATTTCAAATTTTTTTGTGTGGAGATTTTGTGTCCTAATGGTCACTTGTGATCCCTCGATCTCCCTATACTAAGTTATTCCCAGATTTGAAGCCGAAATCTATGAAAAAAGGCACTCAGAAAAATTGAAAAATTGATAAATTACTCCAAATTGCTTAACACGATTCTATCTCAGAAACTATAGGTGCAATTGAGTTGAAATTTTCAGGGATATTAGTCCTCTACTGGAATAAGAATCGCTGAAAATTTCAGCTTTCTATCTTTGATAGAAAGAAAGTTATGACCTGTCAAAATTTTCCAAAATCTAAATCATAAGGTAGGTACCTTCCTACTAAAACAATGAAATTTCAAATTTTTTTGTGTGGAGATTTTGTGTCCTAATGGTCACTTGTGATCCCTCGATCTCCCTATACTAAGTTATTCCCAGATTTGAAGCCGAAATCTATGAAAAAAGGCACTCAGAAAAATTGAAAAATTGATAAATTACTCCAAATTGCTTAACACGATTCTATCTCAGAAACTATAGGTGCAATTGAGTTGAAATTTTCAGGGATATTAGTCCTCTACTGGAATAAGAATCGCTGAAAATTTCAGCTTTCTATCTTTGATAGAAAGAAAGTTATGACCTGTCAAAATTTTCCAAAATCTAAATCATAAGGTAGGTACCTTCCTACTAAAACGATGAAATTTCAAATTTTTTTGTGTGGAGATTTTGTGTCCTAATGGTCACTTGTGATCCCTCGATCTCCCTATACTAAGTTATTCCCAGATTTGAAGCCGAAATCTATGAGAAAAGGCACTCAGAAAAATTGAAAAATTGATAAATTTCTCCAAATTGCTTAACACGATTCTATCTCAGAAACTATAGGTGCAATTGAGTTGAAATTTTCAGGGATATTAGTCCTCTACTGGAATAAGAATCGCTGAAAATTTCAGCTTTCTATCTTTGATAGAAAGAAAGTTATGACCTGTCAAAATTTTCCAAAATCTAAATCATAAGGTAGGTACCTTCCTACTAAAACGATGAAATTTCAAATTTTTTTGTGTGGAGATTTTGTGTCCTAATGGTCACTTGTGATCCCTCGATCTCCCTATACTAAGTTATTCCCAGATTTGAAGCCGAAATCTATGAGAAAAGGCACTCAGAAAAATTGAAAAATTGATAAATTTCTCCAAATTGCTTAACACGATTCTATCTCAGAAACTATAGGTGCAATTGAGTTGAAATTTTCAGGGATATTAGTCCTCTACTGGAATAAGAATCGCTGAAAATTTCAGCTTTCTATCTTTGATAGAAAGAAAGTTATGACCTGTCAAAATTTTCCAAAATCTAAATCATAAGGTAGGTACCTTCCTACTAAAACGATGAAATTTCAAATTTTTTTGTGTGGAGATTTTGTGTCCTAATGGTCACTTGTGATCCCTCGACCTCCATACACTAAGTTATTCCCAGATTTGAAGCCGAAATCTATGAAAAAAGGCACTCAGAAAAATTGAAAAATTGATAAATTACTCCAAATTGCTTAACACGATTCTATCTCAGAAACTATAGGTGCAATTGAGTTGAAATTTTCAGGGATATTAGTCCTCTACTGGAATAAGAATCGCTGAAAATTTCAGCTTTCTATCTTTGATAGAAAGAAAGTTATGACCTGTCAAAATTTTCCAAAATCTAAATCATAAGGTAGGTACCTTCCTACTAAAACGATGAAATTTCAAATTTTTTTGTGTGGAGATTTTGTGTCCTAATGGTCACTTGTGATCCCTCGATCTCCCTATACTAAGTTATTCCCAGATTTGAAGCCGAAATCTATGAAAAAAGGCACTCAGAAAAATTGAAAAATTGATAAATTACTCCAAATTGCTTAACACGATTCTATCTCAGAAACTATAGGTGCAATTGAGTTGAAATTTTCAGGGATATTAGTCCTCTACTGGAATAAGAATCGCTGAAAATTTCAGCTTTCTATCTTTGATAGAAAGAAAGTTATGACCTGTCAAAATTTTCCAAAATCTAAATCATAAGGTAGGTACCTTCCTACTAAAACAATGAAATTTCAAATTTTTTTGTGTGGAGATTTTGTGTCCTAATGGTCACTTGTGATCCCTCGATCTCCCTATACTAAGTTATTCCCAGATTTGAAGCCGAAATCTATGAAAAAAGGCACTCAGAAAAATTGAAAAATTGATAAATTACTCCAAATTGCTTAACACGATTCTATCTCAGAAACTATAGGTGCAATTGAGTTGAAATTTTCAGGGATATTAGTCCTCTACTGGAATAAGAATCGCTGAAAATTTCAGCTTTCTATCTTTGATAGAAAGAAAGTTATGACCTGTCAAAATTTTCCAAAATCTAAATCATAAGGTAGGTACCTTCCTACTAAAACAATGAAATTTCAAATTTTTTTGTGTGGAGATTTTGTGTCCTAATGGTCACTTGTGATCCCTCGACCTCCATACACTAAGTTATTCCCAGATTTGAAGCCGAAATCTATGAAAAAAGGCACTCAAAAAAATTGAAAAATTGATAAATTACTCCAAATTGCTTAACACGATTCTATCTCAGAAACTATAAGTGCAAATGAGTTGAAATTTTCAGGGATATTAGTCCTCTACTGGAATAAGAATCGCTGAAAATTTCAGCTTTCTATCTTTGATAGAAAGAAAGTTATGACCTGTCAAAATTTTCCAAAATCTAAATCATAAGGTAGGTACCTTCCTACTAAAACAATGAAATTTCAAATTTTTTTGTGTGGAGATTTTGTGTCCTAATGGTCACTTGTGATCCCTCGATCTCCATACACTAAGTTATTCCCAGATTTAAAGCCGAAATCTATGAAAAAAGGCACTCAGAAAAATTGAAAAATTGATAAATTACTCCAAATTGCTTAACACGATTCTATCTCAGAAACTATAAGTGCAAATGAGTTGAAATTTTCAGGGATATTAGTCCTCTACTGGAATAAGAATCGCTGAAAATTTCAGCTTTCTATCTTTGATAGAAAGAAAGTTATGACCTGTCAAAATTTTCCAAAATCTAAATCATAAGGTAGGTACCTTCCTACTAAAACAATGAAATTTCAAATTTTTTTGTGTGGAGATTTTGTGTCCTAATGGTCACTTGTGATCCCTCGATCTCCCTATACTAAGTTATTCCCAGATTTGAAGCCGAAATCTATGAAAAAAGGCAC